AGACAGGGTTTCTCTGTGTAGCTTTGTAGACCAGGCTGGCCTCGAACTCAGAGATCTGCCTGCCTCTGCCTCCCGAGTGCTGGGACTAGAGTCATATGTCACCACTGCCCCTGCTGAATAGGGTGTTCTAAGTTAATACATTCAACAAATTTTATCTTTTTTCAGGATGTTAGAGCTGACTCAGAGGTAGGCAAGGGATGGTGGAGCTAAAGGTAGCCCAGGCCCTGAACCTGCAATGTTCCAAATTGTCCACAGTCATTGGAGTTTTAATCCATCAGCCTTTGTAAACACAACTTCTTTCTTGGAACTCTCATTCTCTCTCTCTCTCTCTCTCTCTCTCTCTCTCTCTCTGTGTGTGTGTGTGTGTGAATGTATATGTCTGTGAGGGTGTGTGTGAGACTATGTGTGTGTGAATATATATACACAGTATAAATTGTTCTTTCATTGTGAATGGCATAGAGAACTATACTAATGTCACATACCTCCCAGTTGAAAGTTTTGTCCTTATTTGCATATTCTCCCTTGCCAAACAAATATAAAACTATAAAATGATTCATGTTTCCCCTAGTGTTTGGTACCTTTCTTGTGGTATTTTCTTACCAGATACAGATGGCTACTTGCATGCCTTTCCTAGATGAGGCCTCATGGTCCTTAACTCATACCCCATCCTGTTTCTCTTTGCTCTTCAAGGCCAGACCTCTCAAGGTTGCCAGTGTTGGGTGTGTTGTGATCACGGAATTAGAGTCGGTCAGGTAGCTTTCCATGGAGCTGTTGGTGGGATAGTGACTTCCCAGCATCTATAGAATACTCCTCTAAGCTGTGTCCCTTGGTCTGCATCAGGCACTGCTCAGCACAGCTGTCATCACCCCAGGAGCTCTGGTGAGAACAGAATAGACAAACGCAGGCAGCAGCAGAGGCAGCAGAAGGTGCTTCGGGAGGGGTGACCACCTCCTACCTGGGGCAAATCAGGACAGTATCTTAGTGTGAAAGGGACGGGATTCTAGGGAGAGGCTGAGTGTGCAAAGGCCCAGAGTCCCAAGGCCATCAGCACCTTCAGCGTAAATACTGTCCCACAGGTGGTACCAGCCAGAACTGAGCAGTGAAACACTATGCCCAGTCTATCACCAGAATCTTCGAGATCACTTATTATTCCATGCCTTTCTGGGAAATCTTTCTTTTCATATATTTACTCTGTTATAGTGTCACTGTTTTCACACTTCACAGTGTAAAACCTAACACTGTACTGGATGCTTAGCGTGCTTTGAAGTGCCATTGCAAACATCGCATCTGTGTTGAGCTGGCTCATATCTAGGACTCCATGCTGTGGGCATTTTCATTATCCCAATTTGCTAAGGAAGAAACCAAGGCACCAAGGGTTCACATGGCCAGAGTTACACACATTAAATGGGAGAGAGCCTACGACTACACGCTTCTTCCTTAACCCCAAAAGTAATTATATTATTGACAGCCTTTCCAGGTCTTCTATAAGAGTAAAAAGCTGAGAGGTTCTATTGCAAAACAGAAGACCAAGAATATGCTCTAGGCTTTTGAAGTCTCTCTCTCTCTCTCTCTCTCGCTCTCTCTCTCTCTCTCTCTCGCTCTCTCGCTCTCTCTCTCTCTCTCTCTCTCTCTCTCTCTCTCTCTCTCTGTCCATCATATGTACATAGTATGTGTACAGGTGCAGAGCAGGTATCATTCCATCTTTTTTAAATTTAAATTTTATTTTACTTAAGAAAGAGAGAGAAAATCTCTCACTCACTTGAAACTCATCCATAAGGCCAGGCAAGCTGGTCAGCCAACCCCCGGGATCTGCAGGGTGTCACCTCCCTGGTGTTGTGAGTAAGTGCACACCACCACAAATTCCAGGAACCAAATTCAGACCCTCATGTCTTCGAGGCACTTTTCTGACTAAGCAATCTCTTTGGCTTTATCTTTTTATTACATCTTATTTAATTAGTGTATGTGTGCCCTCCTCTGGCTTATACACACACACACACACACACACACACACACACACACACACACCTGGATCAGAGAGAAGCCAGGGTTGAAAGCAGCAGATGAGAAGTCCAGCCCTGTGTCCATGGAAACACTGGGGCCAGGTTTGGAGTATGATGAGTAGCCAGCAGCAGATCTGCAATGAAGCTGATCATGTTCAGCATCCTGGGAAAGGTTCCTGGTGTGGGGACATCAGTTCTGCCACCATTTCTGGTAGGACCAGGCTTCCAATGGCCTCAGAGGGATATTCAAAAGAGGAGCATGCCCATAGGAGAAAAATAGACTTCATCCTACAAAAATCAAGTCAGTTTTGCCTTTTATCCAGCAGTGACATTGAAGTGACTTCAAGGCCTCCATTTCTCGACAACATTGTCCCCACACTGGTCAGTATTACTAGAAGTTCTTTGAACTTCAGAGTCTCATCAGATCATCAGAAATGAAAGATTTAAAAGAGAAATCTTTGGCTTAGATAAAAATTTAATGTGAATGAATTTCTGTGAAAGGATAATGATGGGTTTCTGAGATGGAGGAATATAGATGGCCTCAAGGGATGGGCTGAGAGACAAGGGCAAGATGCCACGTGGAGAGGCCAGAACTTATTTTACATGGCAGTCATTATCTTCTGCTGGGTGGGGACAACCCAGGGTAGGTATTGAGGGACTTGCTCACAATGGCTTCGGAAGCAATTCTTTTGTTTGTTTGTTTTCAAAACAGTGTTTCTCTGTCCTGGAACTCTCTGTAGACCAGGCTGGTCTGGAACTCACAGAGATCCTCCTGCCTCCGCCACTAAAAAAAGCTGTTCTTTTAGCATAAGTGTCATCATGCTGGGGGCTGATACAGCCTCTGCAGAGGTGTGAGAAGCAGTCTCAGATACCTGAGGCTGTGCGTGCATCCCACCTCCAGCCTGTGCTGTGGACATCACCTGTCTTCAGCAGAGCCTGCTGTGTCAGCACGGAAGGCCACCATTCAGAAGAAAACCCTGGGTACAGTGTCCTCAGGGATGTGAGGTCCCGTGGAATTCATTTGGTGAATTATAGTACACTGGAGTAAGAGCTTTTGTAACACATTGTCATCTTTAGACTTTTAATTTAATTAATAAATTTGAGATGTGTGCTATATTTTTAAAGTACTAAAGTGCTGGGTTGCTAGGAAGGCGAAATGGAGGGAAGTGTACAATGGTAACTCATAACCTCAACTGAGAAGCAGATAATTAGAAATTCTTGCCCCCTGGTTGCCCTCAGAATAGCTCTGGAAACCTCATCCTCTCAAGGAAATAGAAGGAAAGGCAGGCGGTGGGTAACATGTCATTGGATGAAACCCCTTCTTGGATTGAACCATCACTGTGGTTCTGGAGAGGGCCTGGTGCTCATCGGGGTCCTGGAAGGGAGGATCTGGAGCTGCAGCCCAACAAACACACTGGCTATGTTTCCCTGTGTGATGTCAGCAGTAGGTTCAGCCATCATCACCTTGCACTATCTGTCTGTGTTTGTGCACCCTGTCACAGGCTCTTCTTTGGAAAACATCACACAGTTATTTAGTCGCTTACAAGATCAGTCAGGTCCCATGGCAAGATGTATTTCTGTGGGAGTCAAACCTTAGATTCTACTTTGCTGGGAGAAATCTGTTGTCATGGAAACCATTCCTATTTCGCCAGGATGGAGCTGCATGGAAACAAGTTGATAAAGATACTGAGCAGAAGGGTGAAAAAAAAGTCAGACACAGTTAAATCCATTTTCCTGGGTAATATTGATGATCCCTATTAGTGTTACTGTAGATAGAAATCAGCCTGTAAATATGGAATTCTAGCAAAGTTATCAATCCTGGTGAGGCAACACCCATTCCAATGAAGACACTATCTAAGATACCCCAAAGCTTGTCAGCTATTAGAATAAGATTGTGTTTTAGCTGGGCAATGGTGGCACACACCTTTAATCCCAGCACTCAGGAGGCAGAGGCAGAGGCAGGCAATCTTTGTGAGTTGAGGCCCGCCTGGTCTACAGATTGAATTCCAGGACAGCCAGGACTGTTTCACAGAAAAACCCTGTTTTGAAAAAAATGATAAAAGGCTATATTTTAATTTGTTTGTGAAACAGTGGTAAAGGGAAAATTGAGTTAAGAGCAATTAGCTTTCTTCATATTATAGCTTTTAAACATAATATGAAGATTATCAGAGCAGTTTGTGGATATTGTCATTGATATGACAGGAACAAATGCCTCAAACACAGTCAAAGAAAAGAATGAACCACATGTGTTCACACACTCTCCTTACAAACTAGTGGCATCATGACTTGGCCAGAAGGGACTCATGTGTGTCACAGGCCTTCTCATGTTTGTACCACACTGAAAAGTAGAGTACTTCTCAGGGTTGGTGAAGTGTGTGCTGAGACAGCACATTACTGCAGTCCTCACTCTGGAGTCTGGACTCTCCTGCTCCCCTGAAGGATTGCATCCGCCTTGGTCACTTTTCTCACTGGTGTGATAAACACCTGACAAACACAACTTA